GGGGGGGGGGTGAGAGGATGCGGCACTAATGGGCCGAGAGGGCTGCTGGTGGTCCAGTACCGGCCTACGGCCCAACAGCCCCGGCCCCAGCCTACACTCACAATCAGCTCGCCAGCCCCGCCAGCCTGCGGCAGATTCACTTTGGAGCTCCCGGCGCCTGCGACCGTCCACCCCCTACCCCTGCGCTTGGAGAGCCCTCCAGGGCCCTTGGCATATCAGGCGCCAATCTGACCGATGGTCTGTCTGCGTGCGCCGAGGGGCTGGCCGCGTGGCTTGCCGAGCCAGGGGGCGGCGGGGCGTCGTGGAGACAGTGAGACACTCGAGGGCGGCGGGGCGTCGTGGAGACAGTGAGACACTCGAGGGCGGTGGGGCGTCGTGGAGACAGTGAGACACTCGAGCCTCGGAGGGCTGCCGCGCCAACGACTCGGGGGAACGGGCGGCGATATGGGAAACTTTGTGAAGCATCGCACTGGGAGCTGGACTGGGCGTCGTTCATGTCGGGGGGTGGTGGGGCGGGGTCGACAACAGCCACGCCACTTTTGTTGCGGATCGGCGAACAAAGTAACGAAGAATTTTTCCTCCCCGTTTGCCCGATGGACGCGCAGAAAGTTGTTTCTCGAGTCGGAAAAGGAATGAGAAGAAAGTAGCAGCGGGGGTCGACGCTTTCCTCCCCCTCTCCCCCTCTTGGAGCCGTACCGGCCACGCACGCACACGCCCGCACGGCTGTGGGTTGGCTGCTGCAGCCCCTCTTCTCCCATCTTCATTACCCCCTCCCCCCACATTCTATCCTGTTTACTGCGCTCGCCTTGTTAGCCGCGTTTAGCCTCGCTTAGCCCTTTCGACTTTTTATTCCATTTTTACGCTGTCGTTTCTTCTCCCACCCGAGCGAGCTGCCGGTCCTAGCCGAGGAGGAGGGGGAGGAGGACGTGGACTGACTGAGTGCGCCGGGGCGGGCTGGGCCGGGCCGGGCGCTCTCGTCCCCGTCCTGGGGATCGCCATGCAGGCGAGCTGCTCCGCGGCAGTAAAAACGGCGCTGGTATGTCGTGTTTTTGTGGCGGTCCGATCGTCGGACAGGACGCAGACCAGAGACAAGCCGGCAGCCGCCGGCAGCACTACTAGCTAGCGCCCCTCCCCTTCGATCTGGCAAAAACACTGCCGCAGAGGTAAATGCTCCCACCCGACCCTTCCCAGCTGTTCGCCGCTGGCTATGTCCGCCCCCTCTCTCCACAGGGGTTTGGCTCTGCAGTCTGCCAGCTGCTCCACACAGACCAGACCATCAACGCGGTCTATTTCCCTCGCAGTCGGCGCTGTGGTGGAGCGACATTCTCTGAAATGGACATTCCAGGGTGGCTTTGCTTAATGGCGGTGGATGAACAATAACAGGAGGTATGTGCCCGACCGACAGATGGAGGATGGAGGGTCGGCGAGGGCTGGAGGGAAACGACGGGATGCGAGGGAGGGAGGTGGGCAAATGAAAGGGTCCAGCGAGCCAACTCTGATGGACTAGAGAGACCCTCGTAAGGATAAGGCACGGCGGTGACAACCCCAATCCTCACCGCTCCTCCTCCCCTCCTCCTCATCGAGCACCAGCTCAAAACAAACAGA